AAACGCAGAAGCATCAAACACAACGACGCGCCACACCTAACCGAACAGGTGAATCTCATAAGAAGCCATCTTTCTCCTCTCTTGCCTCGATTTCACTCATTCGGCGGTTCGTTTGGGGCGTGTGGAGATCGCAAGAGCGAGCAACACTTCAACACTGCGGGTAAAAACTGCAGCAAAGCGCAGCCGGGATGATGCAACTGGAAGACATCGTCCTGCGTGTAACTCCAGGCAGAGCGAGAACGACATCAACCACTGGAAAAAGTGCAAGAGAGAGTATGAATATCCATACTTCACTGCGGCAGACACGCTTCCAAGAAAACTTCCCTATTTGATGATTATCTTTCAAAACTTTATTTGCAAAATCTGTAATTGCAGGGATATCAAACATCCACACCGCATCTGAGAGACCAAACACTGATTAATAACGTGTGTAAGTGCAGTTTGTGCTACACACACACACACACACACACACACACACACACACACACACACACACACACACAATAGAGAGACAAACGAGAACGGAGCTTTTTCATTGGAAAAAACTCGTAATGCACGCAGATTGCCCTCTCGAGGACATCGCGTGCGTGCTCTTCGCCCAAACAAACAACACATAGATCGTGTGTGTCATCTGGTGTCAAATAGCGATGACACGGATGCACACACCTTCTAAATGCTCTGCTAGTGCTCACCATAATAAATAGAGATAGCTCTTACTTTTTCCTTGGAAATGCACGCTTCAAACAGAACAGTCAATGAAGACGAAGAAGAGAATGATGTGTGCTCCCGGCGCCTATTTATACTATAGTCGCACCGGTAGTGACGTCATGGCTGTCGCCGGCCAACGAGTTGGTGTTTTTTCAATGTATGCTTCAGACACGGGTCACGACGAGGCGTTCCCCATAGCGACCCCTAGAGGACGCAGTTCGAAGTTCCCATGAAGGGGAACTGTATCAACATCCAATATCGTTGATGAAGAAAGACGAGACTAAAATGTTTAAAAATAAAAACCCTCTATATCAAAAATTCTCTGTATTTTCTTCAACATTACAAAACGGAGAAAAAATCTTGACCTCCACAAGTTTATGTTTGCGGTTTGCGGAGCTTCTCTCTTAAAACGACACATGTTCTTCCCTGCGTTTAATTTATCTTTTCAATCTGCCATCAAACCTTCTCATGATGAACTGTAATAAATCCAAACATGATCTCAACTGTATTGTTTGCAAGTGAGGCTGAAAAATGCACTTACGTCCCTCTGTGTCAATACAAAGCCTTTTTGTTGTTGTTTTAATAGAAAGACGTGAATATAATTTGGAATTAATATTATAAGTGTCACTGTGTTTGCTTTTAAGTTTTCATAATGTAGCGATTGTGTTTATATTTTTGATAACATAATGAATCAGAAAACTACATGAGGTCAAATAAAGCAAGTGTATGAATCACAAAAGTGAATTAATTCTGATGTAATTTCTCAAATAACAATAATCATCATCAGTAATTGTGAGCAAAATAACTGTGATTATCACTTTCACCATTGTGACTAAAACTAGACTTAAACAGGACAGGTTATCTCATATATGTTCATGTAAGCATATAAACGGTTTGTTTGTGCTTGTGTTCCCGTTCTCTGGCGTTCAGACTGCAGTGGTTTGCGTGTAATTCCCGCGGCGTCTGTCTTTATAACTGTGCCACTGTTCTGAGGCGCTGCATTACTATACTTGAGCTGTATCTTACAGCGTATTTCATCATTGCTCAAAGAGTCCATGAAAAAAATAGACTCCATTGATCTAAACACACACACTCTCCTCTTTTACATTAACTCAGAAAACTGTTTTCTGTGTGGAGCTCGTAGATTCACACACAATGACCTCAAATAACCTTCATCTCTGACCGCCGCTATTACACACACACACATAAAGATGAACACACACACACACACACACACACGCACGCATGCAGTTAATGATCAGCATGTGTGTGTGTGTGTGTGTGTTTACTCTACAGCACATGCCACACACACACAGACTCAACGTCAACGTCTTTCCTGGAGTTTCATCAACCCTCCACCCAGATCTGTCCACACACACTCACACACACACACACACACATACACATACACACACACACACACACTCACACTCACACACACACCTCAAGGCTAATGTGTGTAAATGCATACTGCAAACACAAACATCAAACTGTTGCTGCTCTGCATGTGTGTGTGTGTGTGTGTGTGTGTGTGTGTGTGTGTGTAATTGACTAACTCTTTAGATACATGAATGCGGTGAATCTCACAAAACCGCTCAAGAACACATGCAGATCTAAATTCAGCAACAACAAAAAAAGAAATAATAATAATAATAATAA